TACTATCTCTTTTCATTCTCTCCTTTGTCTGAGGCTATTGATACTGAATATTCCATTTGCATTGTTCAGACTGCTTGCCAACAAGAAAGGGCAGTAGGTTTCAGCCCGCTCTAGTGATCTTGTGCCTGTTTCAGGTGCAAGGTTATGATATTCTGCAGTGCTTCTGTAAACCTCATTTTGTATCTCCAGATAAAGTGAAAAGTGTCTTGGGTGACTGCAAATTCATATACATTAACTCCAAAAGCATCTAAGATGGTAATCATAAGATTCTTGCCCAATGCTCAGCTCCCAAAATCCCAGTAATTTTTGCCTCTGTAATCTTGATTCGATTGTCTTGGTGTATTCTGCACAATCTTGGTTCTGAAAACCTTTTATCACAACCGTGGAGTAATGTTTTAATTGTAGACTTGATGTAGCAATTTGAAATGAATAATATGAGAGCACTTTTATAGAACTCAGCAAAACTGAGATGGAAGAGGAGAGCAACAGGTAAAAGACAAGTGTCAGCTATGGTAACTCAACAGTATAAACAGAAAGGTAGTGGCCACAAGATTCAGATCCATCGATAATGTTCTGGAGGCTGGAGTGAATCAAGTGGGGTGTGCTGTGGCCCTAGTCCTGGCTGGACACAATGGCCCCACTGCTGGTCAGAGCATTGTAGCCCCACCTCGGACCAGTGGGCCCACTCCTTTACCTGAGCACAGGGTGCCCTCACGTGCCTCAATTCCCATCTGAATGTCAGACAGTCAGCAACTCGGACGTTGCTGAGAGCAATGCTACAATCAGGAAAACATGAAGCACCACAAGGTTTGTATGCTGCCAACCTCCTCATGGAATCAGATGTGGGCTGATTACAAATCGCAACTTGCATACTCAAAAAATCAATGCTAATCAATTTCTAGCCCATTTTGTTTAATTATTTGCAGATCAACGTTCATTAAAAAAAGTAGAGTTTTTAATTTTATTATCCTGTCATGAAAGACATGATTCAAAAAAATGTTTCTCCTTTTCAACTTGTACTTTTCTTTGAAATGCCAAGTGAAAAACAAAAAAGAAATCGAATTCAGTCTGTACAAATACAAGAGAATGTACTTGCAAATCAGTAACTTCAAAGAGAACATTGGTCCAGATTTGCAGTGTGAATGACGCTTACTGTTATTATGAAGTAAATTGGACATCTAGAGTGCAAATATGCTCAGTAAATAAGGTAGATTCATTTAGAGGGATGACAAGTGGCAAGTGACATTCACACCACGCAAATGCCAGGCAATGACCATCTTCAATTAGAAACAATTTAACCACTGCCCCTTGACTTTCACTGGTGTTGCCATCACTGAATCCCCCTACAATCAGCATCCTGGGAGTTACCATTGGCCACAAACTAACTGGACTAGCCACATAAGCAAAGTGGCTACAAGAACAGGTCAGAAGCTGGGAATACTGCGGCGAGTAACTCACCTCCTGGCTCCCCAAAGCCCGTTCACCATCTACAAGGCAGAAGTTGGGAGTGTGATGGAATACTCCCCACTTGCCTGGATGAGTGCAGTTTCAACAACACTCAAGAAGTTTGATACCATCCAGGACAAAGCAGCTGCTTGATTGGCACTACATCGACAAGCATCCACTCCCTCAATCACCGACGCTCAGTAACAGCAGTGTGTTCTATCTACAAGGTGCACTGCAGAAATTCACCAAAGATCCTCAGACAGCACCTTCCAAACCCATGACCACTTCCATCTGGAAGGACAGGGGCAACAGATACATGGGAACACCACAACTTTAAAGTTCCCCTCCAAGCCGCTCACCATCCTGGTTTGGAAATATGTACTTGGAAATGGCGGTTCACTGAGTGTCAAAATCCTGGAATTCCCTTCCTACGGGCATTGTGGGTCAACCTATAACATGTGGACTGCAGCAGTTTAGGAAGGCAGCTCACCACCACCTTCTCAAGGGAAGCTAGGGATGGGCAATAAATGCTGGCCAGCCAATGACACACACATCCCACGAGTGAATGAAAAAGGAATTGGATTATTCAGGTGTAGGTGTTTTTTTTAAGTTCTGTTTCATATATTCAGTGTTGAATATTACAATGGAATCAAAAATTCTAAAGCTTGATGCAATAGCCTTTGAAAAATTGTCATTTTTTTAAGTTCATTCATGGGATGGTATTTGTCATTGGCCAGGCAGCATTTATTGCCATCCCTAATTGTCCAGAGGGCACTTAAGTGTTAACCACATTGCTGTGGGTTTGGAATCACATATAGGCCAGACCAGGTAAGGATGGTAGTTTCCTTTCCTACAGGACATTAGTCAACCAGATGGGTTTTTTTTTTCAAACAATTAGCAATGGAGTGATGGTTATAATTAGACTCTTAATTCTAGATTTGTATTGAATTCAAATTTCAACATCTGATGTGGTGGGATTCAAACCCAGGTCCCCAGAATGTTAGAGATAGTAGGAACTGCAGATGCTGGAGAATCCGAGACAACAAGGTGCAGGGCTGGATGAACACAGCAGGCCAAGCAGCATCATAGGAGCAGAGAATGTTACCTGGGTCTCTGGATTAACAGTCCAGCGATAATACCACTAGGTCATCGCCTCCCCCTACGTATTAAAGTTACCTCCGATTTATTAAATTGTCATGTTTTGACTTTAGCAAGCACGCAGCAAATTAACATCACGTGTACATAATACCATAATATGGAAGCCAAACATTAAAGTATAAGTATCTTCAAGTTGTCAGCAAATATTTGAATGGATGTATTTGTGTGAAAATTAAATTTATCTGGATAGAATAGCATAAATTTGTACCCTTGGTGGTCCCATACTTATCTAACAACCTTTCCACAGATCATTACTCAAGGAAACCATCCTGTGCATTCTGTTCTATATTGTCTTCAGTCTTTTGTTAAATTTCCAATAGTTTTGAATTTCCTTTAAATATGCTGCATAATTATCTTTGTGCTGATAAATTAAAATTTCACTTCATAGTCCTTATTTATTTCCTTGTCATTAACTTCTCATATCAGTGTATCACTTTAATCGATATTATGCTTAGCACTAAAACATTGTCATATTCTTCTCATCAAACCTTTGCTTTACTTCCTTATACTTGGAATGTCTAAAAGCAATGTTTGGTTTATGAGTGCAGCTATTGCTTTGGATGAAAAAGCAGCAAATTTAACTATTTTTGAAGGTATTTTCCTGAACATGATGGCATTCATTGCTGGGAGTAATAATAGAATCAATGGCAAGCTGAAAGGACAGAATCTGCTGCTATGTACAATATCACGTAACAGTTAGATATGTGTGTTAAGGATTCTTTTTTCCCACTCTCTTCCTTACATTGATTACCGGTGATGACATACATTATCTCTGAGGTATAATGAAGGGATTGGAGTTTATGCCAAGTGGGTGGGTAAATGTGATCAAAACTGTTAATGTTTACACGGGCTGAAACACTGGCACAGATTGCCTGGACCAAATGCTTGTTTCAATGTTCTAACCTCTATAGATTTCTATGTGTACTGCATTTGTAAAAAGCAAAAATAATCTGAATTTTCTCCCTGAGCCATTAGCATGGTGTGGGAATTCCCTCGCAGAGCTTGTACTGGGAGTGGGAGTGGAGATATTAGCTCAACTGCATTTCTGGCAGTTCATGTTGGGTTTCTCCAGCTGCTGCTAAATAGGTGAGCTGCAGAAGCTTTTGTATTTCTTCCCCAGTCCATACTGAGCAACTAAAATTGCTGATGACAATACTGGACTTCTAACTGAAGATTGAGGTTGCTGCAAATTCAGGGGGAGACAGATCAGTGTGAGAAAGCTGAAAGGGACCTAATATTCTAATAGAAGGATCGAGAGATGACAAGGGGCCAGAGGATGGAAGAGTTGCTCAGTGGCGGATGAGGGGGAGGGGATAGCTAGGAGGACACTGAAGGCATGGAGATGGCAAAGGGATCAGCTTGCTGAGGAGAAAGAAAATCTCATGTCAAAGGCAGCAGAACACTCATCTTATGTCGTGTTGAACGTGGTATTTGTTGAGGTAGGAGTGCACAAGGGCAAGTTTAAAATTCTTACTGAGCAAGGTTCACCAATCTGGACCGAGTTACTTCAGAGACAAAAATTGAATCTGGGTTTGGGAAAGAGAAAGTGTACAGAAAAACAGTACACATCCAGCCTGTGCTTGCAAAACTCAAAGTAAATCCTAACATGAAATATGATTCTGAGATCGGATAACACTTTCTCAAAAAAATATTGAGTACGCTAAGCATTACCCTAACAATCAATTCAAGATTTTCAGTCAGGCTCACAAAGGTATCTCATGTACACCTACCAGAAGCTAGATATATTCACACACAGAGGCCTGTTATCTGAAAGAAAAAGGAACATCTCCAGACATTGGACCTTTATCGAACTGCACGAAAGCATGCAGAATAATAGTTCGTTGGTGCATTTTACATGGCATCATCTTGTGCAACAGGGTCAACTTGAATCCAGTCAGCACCCTTTTCTTTTGCATTATAAATTGTTGCTCCCTTTGGAATTTGGTATTCTTGCTCTGTCCTGATGATAACAGATGAATGTCTTTTACAGCATCTCTTTTTTCATCAATAATGAAACCAAGTTAAAAAAGGGAATAAATCAAGGAATGCATAAATTTAACTATGTGAAATACTTATAATCAGAGGGAAAACATTTGCCATATTCATATCCTTCATTAATAACAGATTTATGTTATACTCTGAGGAGTTGCCTTATATGTGCTGATTAACCACTATATTTTAATTTTTCAATGTTAAATTCATTTTTGTAATTTTTGGTATTATCAGTTTTTATTCCTGGTCCTCTGAACATTTCCCCCTTTGTTCAGTAATGTGCCCCTTATAACCTCATAATAACGTGATTCATTCACAAATCCTGGCCATTCTTTCAGTTCCCACACTGAGAATCCTGTGCCTACCTCCCTCACTGACCAGTTCCTCTCCTCCTCAATTCTCAGCCTTACCAAACTCTGGTGCCCTTCCCTCTGCCCCTCGGGATGTGGTCCCTGTTCTCGTCTCCAGCCGTTTTGTCCGACTCAGCTGGCGTCCACCCGCGGAAACACATGGAAGTATTCAGACGTACACAGTCTACTTCACCAGGGAAAGTGTTAACAGGTAGGTGCAGAAGGGAAATACACGTGGGCATGTGTCCTAAACCTTCTTATCAAATCTGACATTCATTACTGCATATCTTGAAACGGTGGCTCAGTGGTTAGCACTGCTGCCTCACAGTGCCAGGGACCCGGGTTTGATTCCACCCTCGGGCGATTGTCTGTGTGGAGTTTGCATATTCTCCCCGTGATTGCATGGGTTTCCTCCAGGTGCTCTGGCTTCCTCCCACAGTCCAAAGATGTGCAGGCTAGGTGGATTGGCCATGCTAAATTGCCCATAGTGTTGAGGGATGAATAGATTAGGGGAATGGGTCTGGGCAGGATGCTTTGAAAGTCAGTGTGGACTTGTTGGGCCGAAGGGCCTGTTTCCATACTGTAGGGATTCTATTCTATGTAATATTTTCTGTTATCCTATCCATGGCATTTCCTGCTACAATAATTTGTAGCTTTGGCTCTCTATATCAGTGAATACCTAACAGCATCTTTTTTCTAAAGTTTGTACTCCAATATTTTAGTGCATCTGCTCTATCTATCTGTTTGCTGGCCTTTTATATTCTACTCAAGCCCTGACCAGACTTCCTTCCCTTTATAGTTGCCTGACTCCAAATCATCTCAGCTCATCTGCCATCATAATCTTCATCAATTTCTTTGTGTTGATTATGTCAAAGTACTCCTGTTAATCTTGTGAATCGTACTGTCCATAAGCCTGAAGTCATTCAAAACTCTTCCAATCTATCTTTGAACCTCCACCAAATCCTATTCCACTCTCACTCTGGCACTCACCAACCAGTAAGATTTTAAAATTTTCATCCTAACCTGGGGAGAAAGTACAAACTCCACACAGACGGCCTCAGGCAACTGTGTCTGCGAGAGTTTCCTCTGGGTGCTCCAGTTTCCTCCCACAGTCCAAGGATGTGTAGGTTAGGTGGATTAACCATGGGGACTGCAGGGATAAGGTAGAGGGGTGAGTCTGGTTGGAATGTTCTTCAGAGAGTCGGTGTGGACTTGTTGGACCGAATAGCCTGTTTCCATACTGTAGGGATTCTATGATTCTATGATAAATGCTTCAATGACCTCACCCCATTCTCATCCCAAGCTTCCTCAAATCCTTTGACATGTCTACATCTTCCTATTTTAGTGCCTTGGCAATCCCTAATTTAAATTACTCCCTGTACCTCTCTGCTTTTCTTCCTTTCTTTGAGATGTGTCTTAAAATCTACCCATTTGACAAAGTATTTGGCATCTACACTAATGACTTCTTTAGAGGCGAGATGTTAAATTTTGTTTTATAATGCTAAGTGCCTTTAAAGATGCAATTTGAACAGAAGTTCCTCGTTTTGAGTAAGTCAGTATTAATTTACTGTCTGCCATTATGTACTTAAGTCGATATTCATCTATCTTTGCCTCTTTCAACCTATCATCCTTTCTCTTAGTCTGTTTAAGTTTCTTTTATTGTTGTCTTTTGCAAACTGTTCTTCCTTGGAATCTTGCAAGAATCCCCCCCAACCATCCCACCCTGCCCCCAACCTCTGATTTCTTACCTGTTTCAAATGTATAGATTCTTTTTTTTGTCAGTCAATAACATTGTATCTGCCTTATCTCCAGGCTTCAGTCACTCTGCCATTTCATTTGCATTTGACTCTACTAAAAAGGTTATGTAATTTATTTCTGAAATTCTCAGTCAGTTATACCAATAATAAATTTCCTGATAGTCCAGGAAATTGTTGCAAATAGTAACAAAAAGTGCATTAATTATTCTGCCTGTATTATGCTGTCATTTCTGGGTAAAAGGCTTCAGGCAGCCATTATATTATTTTTTGTAATGATTAATTGCTATTTAGGGATAATGTTCCAAGTAAACAGAGTAAATGATGTTTGTTCATGAGAGACAAACATTACAATAGGAGATTTCTTCAGTTGTTATTACATCTCTTCTTCACACTAGAAATCTCAGGTAAATCACTTCTTCCCTAAAGGCAGCCAATTACACATTGTAACATATCTTGGAATAACCTTTTATTGCTTGGAAACTTCTCAAGGTAATAAATGTAATTATTTACTGAACCTTGTCACTAATCATACTTTAACTCCTACAATGTGCTGTCAGTGTAGGTGTAACAGATAAACATAATCACTTGGAAGTGTACACTACATCCCCACTTTTGTAAGTCACCAAAACCGCTTATAGTATACAGGCAGTATTTGAATGAGAGAGATCATTTATTTGCTGCATCAGATCAGAAGTTTTACCAAAGCTTTTGTCTTCGAGATATTGACTGACCTGTATATTTCTGATATACAGTTTGCTCCTACATCGAGTCTGCTTTGTCATTCAAAGAAATCACGGCTGATCTGTTTTTCCTCAACTCCACTTTCCTGCCTTTGCCCCACAACCATCGATTCTCTTACCGATTAAAAATACATCTACCTCAAACTTGAGTACATTTAATGACCCAGCCTCATTCACTCTCCAAGGAGAAGTATTTCACAGATACATTGCCCTCTGAGAGAAGAAATTTCTCTTCCTATCTGTATTAAATATCTGACCCCTTACTCTGAAATTATGCTCTCCAGTGCAAGACTCTCCCACATAGAGAAAAAAAACTATCCCACATTTCCCCTATCGAGTCCTCTAAGGATCTTATTTGTTTCAATAAAGTCGCCCCTCATTTTTGTAACCTCCAATGAGTGCAAGCCAAGCAATCAACCTCTCCTGATAAAACAGTCCCTCCATACCTGGGATCAGCCGAGTGAATCTTCTCTGGACTGACCCTAGTGTCATTCTATCTTTCTTTAGATAAGTGTCCCAAAACCTTTCATTGTATATCAGCTGTGGTCTGACTATTGGCTTGCATAGTTTCAGCAAAACCTTTTCATTTCTATGCTTCATTCCCTTTGAAATAAAGGCCAACATTCCCCTTGCCTATTACCCACTGAACTTGGATACTAGCTTTTTGAGATTCATGCAGTCTTTATCCATTTAAATAGTATTCAACTGATCTATTCTTCCTGCTACATAACCTCACATTTTTCCATGTTATATCCATCTGCCAAGTTTTTGCCTACTTACTTCCCACCTATTTTTGTCATTTTGGCAGCAGTACATTCACTTTCTTCATCCAAGTCATCAACATATATTGTAAATACTGTGGCCCCAGCACTGATCCCTGTAGCACTCCCCACTAGTTGCAGGTTGCCATCCTAAAAATGCCCCCCTTATCCCAACTCTCTGCCCTCTGTTAGTCAATCCTCTATCTATGCTAATACACACCTCCACTACTGTGGTATCTCATTTTAATAAGTAGCATAATGTGTGGTACCTTATTAAGTGCCTTCTGAAAATCCAAATACTTCACTGCTTCCCTGTTAGCTATCCTGCTCATTCTCAAAGAATTCTTGTAAATGTGCCATGCATGATATTCATTCTAGATTTTAAAATACGTTCTGATTTCATTGATTTCCTCCATTACTTTTTATTGAGATGTATGTGTCAAATGAAATTTTCACCGCATAATATTATAAAGAGTACAGGTATTCAATATTACCTAGAGACAACTTAAGTGTCCAGCAGTGATTAAAAATGCTTTCTGTGGAAAGCCGAGCACACATTTAAACACAACAGAACATATCACTGTTCAAATAATGCTGGTGCTAACAAGTAGCTTAAAGTAGTGTGTAGATCCGGCATAATGTTTCCCGTGATTATTTGCAAGCTTTAGTAATTTCTTTATAGTACAGAGTTGTCTATCTCATCAAACTTGCTCTTAAATATAAAATGAAGATGGTAGTGTGACTTATTTCCTTGGTGTGCATTACAGTATTAAGCTGCTCACATTTTCTCTTGCTTTAAAATCAGGGAGCGTGCATTGAATACCTCCCAATATGGAGACCTGCAGCTTACCATTGGAAATTTGAAACCAGAAGAAACCTATTTGTTCAGGATCGTAGCCTACAATGATTTTGGACCAGGGCAAAGTTCACAACCGATTAAAGTATCTACTCAGCCCGAGCGTAAGTAGTTGAAGTAACTGATAATTATGATGTAAAATATTCTCATGACTGTAGGTAAAGATCTGAATTATTACAAAAATACATTATGACTTTACCATTGGCAATGCCCTGTGACAAGATGATAACAAATATTTTTGTGTGTGTGTGCGCGCGCGAATGTTAAAGGGATCAGGATTATCCATTGATATCCAGGGCTGAATTCTCACTGGCTGAGGAAAATTCCTGATTTCCCAAACTTGACTGTGGGGGTGGAATTGCCCTGAAATGCTGTATTTTTTAATCGGGATGAGCGGGTGCAAACTAGAGTCAGACATGCCATTCAAAGAGACAGTACAGAAGCATCTACAGGGTTGCTGAGTGTCAAGGCAGGCTGTTAAAGCATCGGCCTCAGTGCTGTGGACCTCATTCCAATTATGATAAAAACAATAAAACAAAAATCAACACTCTAGACCTCACTCCCACAAACTCCACAACCTTCACCCAAGCCAATTCATGCCCCTCCCTTTTTCCCTTTCCACTCCTCATGGTTTTAATACCAACCTATGTTCCTCCATGTACTCCACATGGCCCTTCATACCTTCTATGATAACCTAGTCTTTTTACCCACCATCGCCTCTCATACCCTCAATGCCAACTTAATATCAACTCATATAAGCCCATGACCCCTGCCACCCTTTTCCCTTAAATCGTCAATGCAACACACCAAATTTCCATTATCACAAAGATCAAGCGTCATGCTGAGATGAAAGAAAATGAAGGTCTGAGCATCTATTGCAGATGTCATTATATTTTAAAACGTCACATGGATAAATATCCATTCAATACATTTAATTACTTCAAGTACTTTATCCCTTATAAACCCATATACATTCTTCAAGTATTTGAGAGGTGACCTGATAGAAGTATATAATATTATGAGACACATAGATAGAGTGGATATTTGGCATCTATTTTACTGGCACATTGAAGTGACCAAAATTGGATTTTTACAAATGAAAGTGAAATGTTGGCAATTAAATTATCCTATGATGTCTAAAAACACTTGGCTGCTTAAGCCATCTAAATTTATTCTTTAATGTTATTCTGCATGGGATGCGAGTATTTATTGCATCCCTAATTACTCAGAGGGTAGTAAAGTGTCAACCACATTGCCATTGGTGTGGAGTCACATGTAGGCCAGACCTGGTAAGGATGGCAGGTTTTCTTCCCTAAAGGACATTACTGTAAAAACTCTATTGGTTTATTTATGAATACATGGTCATAGTTAGGCTAATGTTTTAATCCTAGATTTTTACTGATTTCACATTTCATCATCTGCCATGGTAGGATTTGAACCCATGTTGCCAGCTGGCAGACTATGTTATTTTCCCAGGAACATTATCACTACACCGCTGCATCCCCTAGAATAATGTCACATCTATATCAATCGAATAGGACACTGGATGAGTGATGTGCCTCTCCTAAATTATCTTCATGATCAGTCCCTCTTGAAGGCCGCAAGTATTCTATTGGTTAGAGGTGAAGCACGTCATGGAGTATTGAACATAGAATGTATCAAATTTAGGAATATACATCAAGCACAGCCTATACAACACTGTTTCTGACATAGCCATATTTTAGTCAAGGTAAGCCAGTTCCTGAACCCTCTCCATCTAAACCATCTTGCGCTAACCATGAATTAAATAAAGTGCTGTGAAATGTCAAAACTATTTGGCCTTTACTGGAACAGCTGATAATTAACAACTACTTCCATTCATACTATTCTCCAATCAGGCTTATATAAAATATTAACAGTTGCCATATAATTAACAAGCTCAGTACTTCAATAATAGATCACAGAGTAGCATGTCCATCTAAATTCTCTCAAGATCCATTAAAAGCTTGATAAATCATAATAGCCTGATGCAAATATGACTGATTCACAACAATGTAAGTCTTTGTTCATATGCATTGCGCCCATGTCAGTGTTCTTCATAAACCTGTACGGATAAGACCTTTTAATTCTTAACAGTCACAACTCATTCATCAGTTACCTTTTATTACAGGTTATTACATATGCATGAAATGCTGCCGTAATTGTTTGAGATCTATTAACTAATGACATAGATCCTTAAACTTGAGAGTTTCCTAAATTGTGTGTTTTGTGCATTTATTCATGCAGTCATCAAAAAAATTATGAATTGTTGCACCACTGACAACATGAAATACATTTGTTCCCACCACCAATGCTTATAAAGTTTCAAAACATGCAAGGACTCTAAAGAACGACAAATAAATCCTGTATAAAAACAAAAGCATCAATATTCCTACAAGTTACATTCTTTCCCTTCAGCTTGTCCTTGCGTGTTTGACCCATTACGGTTAAACTGCAAACATGAGTAAATGTTATTTAAAACCAGGTGAAAGCTCGATTATCTAAATCTGGTTTGTGTTGAATAGGGCTGACAAGATAATCCCAACCAAAAGTAGTGTGCTGAATATCCTGATCTCCTGGTTCAGCATGGGTAGAATGGAATGAGTTTCTTTTATTGTTGCTTTTTGCGTACTGAGGTATCCAATCTAAAAGGCTCATTGTGCTTTAATCCCAATAGTGCACCCATCGATTATGTTATTGCTGCAATTTCTCAGAGTGTAAATTCTAAGCACCTAATCTCTGTATGTGACGGTAATCCATTTTAATGCTATATCATTTCTATTAAAAAGATTGCCTGTACATACAGGTTGGATCTGATACCAATAATCCATATGGAAATGTGAACCCAGTGTCTACCTTTTTAATCAGTTTAAGAGCTCATAGCAAGATCCCCCTTTTTGAAGTAATCACCTGAAGAATAGGAATCTGGCTTTGAATGAATGCTTTGTATCTCAAGATTAAATTGTTCTGCCATGCATTCTTTGGTTTGTATATGGGCTATTGTTTTCATTTTCCCAATACTTCAGAGAAGATTGAACATCTTATCTAATTACCTCAGACTAATCTCTGTATTCCACATGAGGTAACTTTATGAAATGCTGTCCAGTCTAAAAGATGCTATCAGAATATAGAAGGAGAAACCATCCTTTATTAAAAGGGCATGGTCTTCCTGAAGTAATTGAAATTGAAATTATGCTCTGAAAAAGACTACTGAGGGTGTATAAAAATAATTTGAGTACAGAGGTTTACGTGGTAAAACGAATACAGAGTTTCTTACTGGACACGCAAGCTGAGGTGGATTCCCAGTAGGAGTTTCCTCAAATTTCTAAATTGGCTACTCAAATTTATATAGTCTATTGTTTGGTGTTGATAGAGTGCTAATTGCTCTGCTAAACCTGGCCCTTGTCTCACCTAATGTTCACAAGTATGTATTCTCCACTGAGAGTCACTGGGTAGTAATTAGGAACAGTACGCTGGCTTTTGTTTTAAAGTTCTTGCAGTGCTCAATATCCTGCCAGAGTTGAAAAATGAAAACAATTCTTTTTTTTAAAGAAGTGGCTAGTTTAAAAAGTGTTTCAGAGATAGTAGCAACTGCAGATGCTGGAGAATCTGAGATAACAAGATGTAGAGCTGGATGAACCCAGCAGGCCAAACAGCATCAGAGGTGCAGGAAAGCTGACGTTTCGGGCCTAGACCCTTCTTCAGAAATGGCTTCGCAGTGGGGTTAAAATTGTTTCAGAGATAGCAGGAACTGCAGATGCTGGAGAATCTGAGATAACAAGGTGTAGAGCTGGATGAACACAGCAGGCCAAGCAGCATCAGAGGAGCAGGAAGGCTGATGTTTCGGGCCTAGACCCTTCTTCAGCTCCTCTGATGCTGCTAGGCCTGCTGTGTTCATCCAGCTCTTCACCTTGTTATCACAAAATCTCATTGACCCATTTACCTTTTTCCATTCAGAGACATGTCATAAGGCCTTTTGTAACTGATGGCAGAGCACCCAGAGGATCATGAAGCATTGAGCAGACCCTCTCTGGAGGAAAGGGTGTCTTTGGCAGAAAGAGGCCTCCTGGAGACAGGGAGAGACAGACAAAGATTTCCTCAACCTGCTATGAGCTACAGGATTAATATTCTTATATAATTTGTTTTCCTACCATACCCTTCATTTCTCTTCACGTTTGTAAAAGAATGATACTATTGGAATAAGTAATCACGGCTTCATGATCTTCCTGGTATTCATGTGCTTAAATATCTCTTGTTATTGACATATAATCATAGACAGGAACCTATCTACCCCTTTGCCATGAATCAAAACACACTGTATGTGCTGGAAATTTACCTTGGTGCTCTTTACAAAATACCCTGAGTTCCGATAAAAGTTCACAGACCTGAAACATAAAATCTTGCTTCTTGCTTCACAGATGATGTCAGACCTGCTGACTGTTTTCAATGATTTCTGTTTTTATTTCTATATTGAATTCCTTATGGCAGAAGAGATCCATTAGTTAAAATAGCTGACATTAGAGGGATGATAGAAGGAGTGGTATCGCACACCAGGAAAGCAACAAGAAAAGTAACCCGATCCATAATCTTCTTAAAACAAAACAGTGAAAATCTAAGCAAGGAACAAAAACAAAGTTGCTGGAAAAGCTCAGCAGGTCTGGCAGCATCTGAGTTCCTGATATATAGTATCCACGGTTCTTTCGGTTTTTATTTAGTGAAAATCTGAAACCAGCCTCTCCTTTCTAGCCATTAGTAATGAGTTACAAACGTTGTCTGAATATATCTAGCTGTGCAGGAGACTTTTTTAAAAGCACATCTTCACACATACCCTTTTACCTGCTTTGGGGAATAGTGGATTTAGGAATAAGGATTTGTGGTTTGATTATTACCCCATTGGGGCAAACCATAAACACATTTGCTGTGGCCAACAAGTCCTGGTGGTGACTTGAAGCCCAAGCTTCTGACCCTGAAATAGGAATGCCACCACTGCATGACAGTCTCCATGAGAATCGCCCAAATCGATCAGACTATAAACCCTTTATAAAAATGAAAGTATCAATTGTCCTACAAGTTACTTTTTTCTCCT